TTATTATTATTATTATTATTATTATTATTATTATTATTATTATTATTATTATTATCATTATCAATACGGTGCATTAGGACTCAAACCCAATGCCTTACCCATATAAAGGCATGCTAGGCCATAATGCGTTGGAACATGAATCCAACGTCTTTTCATCAACATAGTGCGTTAGGACTTGAACCCATCGTTTTACCCTCAATCTTTGGCATAATAGGCCAAAATTCACTAGGACTCGCACTCGAGCCTTTAAAATATTATTACTTCATAATTATATGTATAAGTAAATTAACTTTCAAGAAGACATATATAACTATTTCAATCTTGAAACAGTTCCTCTGCAACAAAAATGCTAGTTAGGATATATGCCAATTTTGCTTTCAATGAAATACATCATGTTATGATAAAAATATTATTACTAAATTACCTTAATAATATTTTATCATAGTATGTAAAAGGTCAGAACATATATATACGTTGGAATATTATCTTTGTCCTATAAGAGATGTAGCAAATAAAGACATACCTTTCCAGTTCTTTATTTCACTGGATACAATTGAAAAATATATTTTTACTAAACACTGCATATAAAGTTAATGCAAAGATATGAAAGTATGAATGGGTTTAGATGGATGTAAAACTTATCTCTGTATTATCATCCAAGATATTTTTCATTGTACTTGATCTCATTATTTGCTTATAATTTACATAGTCTTGACTTAGAAGATCATGAAATGAGCAATTCGTGTTGATAACGTGTTATAAAATAAAAGCAACTTAGTAAAACATGAACAAGACATGTTGTTATGAAATAAAAGCAATTTAGTAAAACATGAACCAGAAATGGAGATAGAGAGAAGGAAGAGATTTTCTTCTTCAATTGTGTGTATTTTTCTACTTATTACAAGGCCTTTATATATGTATGAAAAATAAAAAAAATATGTCATTAAATATATCATTAAGCATAGAAATATGTCATTGAATATGTCATTAAGCATTTGAGAAGATCATGAAAAAAGAGTAGACATCCACGATAATTTAATTTTTCTTATAACAGTCATATGGATATTTTTGCTAATTTCTTTGCCCGCAAGAAACAAAGCCGCAACTTCTTTTGCAAAGAACACGAAGAAGACAAATGCTTGGGTCCCAAGAAAATGACACTTAAGGTAAATTAAAAACGTACCTAATCAGATAGCTAGTGTGTTAAGTTTCAACATCAACCTACATAGTCGTAAACGCGCCACGTAATTATCTGTTTCCTCAACCATAGGGTATTAACAGACTTACTTAATCCCCAAGAAAAAAAGAAAAACCAAACGCACGCCTGACGCCTTTATTTATATTTGTCTTTTTCTCAAATTCTTAAAGAAAGAGTTGTAATCCTAGTTTGATAAGGAAAAGGATTTGGGCTACGAGAGAAAAAATAACTGAAATATTTATTTTATTTAGTATATATAATAATAACTAAAAGATAAAATAATCAGAGAGCAGAGACTGCGAAAACGACAATCTCCCATAGCAAAACCAAGACTTTTATCAATTTGCTTTTGACACTGAATGTCTTCTCACAATTTCCAAAGGTGATTTTCTTCTCCTTTATCCTTTTCCTATGTACTAATGGAAACTTTATATGAATTCTAATTTATGTCTTTGTATTATAAATGTTGTCCAAGTCCTTAAGCTTATTGGTTTTCAATTGACAGACATATCTTGAAAGTTTAATTAGGAATTGGTTATTGCGTCATGATAACTTATAAATTGCCATGCAAGAAAGGCTTTTGGTAATTCTTTGCTATAGTAGGAATTGAGTTCCTTGTCCAATTTGGTCTTCAAGAAGTTCAAATCTTATAAAAGTTATATGCAATAAGGGGTTCTTGTATAGTTTTTTGCCTACTTTAACAAGAATCTTGGGTAATACTAGTGGTTTATTTTGCAAAAAGGGAAGAACCCTTTTGTAATCTTTACTTGTTTTATAAATTAATGGATTTTTGTGGAAACTGTAGAATGAGAAGAAGGCGTAACGGATCAGCTTCTATAGAGGAGACTTTGTCAATGTGGAAGAATCAAAAGCAAGAGCTTAATGCTACTTTAGATGGCGGGATAAAGAAAAAAACAAGAAAATTTCCTGCTCAAGGTTCTAAAAAAGGTTGTATGAGAGGTAAAGGTGGACCAGAGAATTTAGGGTGTAAATACAGAGGTGTTAGGCAAAGGACTTGGGGAAAGTGGGTTGCTGAAATTAGAGAACCTGTTTATAATAGCAATGACTATGAGTATCATAGTAATGGAAAGAGACTTTGGCTTGGTACTTTTTCTACAGCTATTGAAGCTGCTATTGCTTATGATGAGGCTGCTAAGGCTATGTATGGCCACAATGCTACACTTAACTTCCCTGATTACTGTGTACAGAATTCCGAATTAGCTAATTACTCCACGAGTGTTTCTATTGCGCAAACAACTTCATCAAGAATTGAACCTGACTTACAAACATCAGATGATGGTATGGTTGCAATTACAGATGAAAAAACTATTTTGGATGATCCAACGAATTTATGTTCCGATGGTAGAGCTGATGGGGCACAGCAGGATTCTTCTGTTTGTTGCTTGAATATGGAATCAGTAGTAATGGAAATGGACGATTCTTTAGACGATATAAAAGGTTTGAATTGCAGCACAGGAATTGATTCAGAGCCAATTCTCGAGCCTACAAGTTCTTGTGTTAAAGTTGAGACACCCTCGGACAATGACTTCGTGCAAGATAGACGTTTGGAATGCGTAGATGATCCTAACAAGGTGTCAAATAGTTTGCACATATTACACCAGAAAATCACTGATATGAAGCCAAATGACAGCATATTTCAACATGATGTTTTGAGACCAAATGAGAATTATGAATCTGGTGACCAAGTATTGTTTCCTTGTGATCCCATTGCTCTACCAGACTATGATTGTTCGGTGTATGCATTGCAAGAACAACCATTGGATTTCAGGTCATTCGATAATACGAGTGCAGATATTCGTAGTCATCTAGAATACGCGGAGTACTTATTAATGGAAGACAATAACACAACCGAAACAACAACTGTATCAGATATATTTTGGTTAAATGAGAATATTGGTGAAAGTTATAGCCTTCAGTCTTTCTTAGACGAATCATTCGGTGTAAGCAATTTGAATCATTCAAATGGAGTACTAAGTAAAGGAGGTGAATCCAATGAGCGGTGCATCAATATTCCTGGACTTGAGGACCATGGAACAGAGGTTAATATGGAAGATTCGTACATTCCGAATTCTGATTTTGATATCTCCAGCATTTTAGGTGATATTTTTTGACGTCGAAAAAGTTACCGATCCTTTTAGGCATTGTGAGTCTGTCCAAACTAGAGATAGGAAGTTTATAGGTTAGAGTTCATATCTCTTTGAATATGCATTTAGTCCATAGAAAGATAAATAGATATATGTTAAGCAAAGTCATGCTACAGTGTGATTTCAGCTTCCTATTACAAAAAGAAAATACATAGTTATGGTGAAAAAACAAAAGAATTTACTCTTCTTACATTTCATTTGGGTTGCACTATTGAAATATTATCTCTTTTGTATCACATTATTTCCTTGCTTTAGGATGATTAGAATTCTCTGCATCAGCTAAAAACATTAGCATAATCATGAATATTATTGGAAATACCTAAGTATATTGAGAGTGTTACATGGATAATGTCTATCAAACTTGAACACCAAGTATATCTACTAACATTGCACAATCACCTACACCAGCTTGAACAATTAATCCAGAGACGAATTCATGACTTGAACTTTATGAGTTCAGATCGAAATTTTATTATACCCGTCTTATTTAATTCAAGTAAAGAATTTTTAACACATGAACAACGACTAAGTCGGCGACTCTGTCACTAGACTTGCCTAAATCTGGCCTCTGGTTTAGGAGAGGGAGGAGTGGGTATAATGATTGTTCCCAGGCCAGGAATTAGTATTTAATAGAATTCACGAAAATTTAATGAAAGGAAGGAGTCAGTTATGATGAGATTTATCTTGAAACTGTACAATGTTTCGATAATGTAACAATTTTGAGTTGATACTCATAGATTTCATGCTGATTTGCATATCTAGGGAACTATTACGTCAGTATTTTACAATTAATAGTTCACGTGGAGTTTGAATTCAATGGAATACAAATTTTCAGTTTTATATTCACATCTACTTCCCAAGGAAAAGAAAATATACTTTCTTTATCCTAATATAAACAAGGAACATTCGTACGAGTTGAATAGCAAATATTTCAGGTGGCAAAAATCAACCCACTTCTCCCATAATAACCCGATCGGCCCAAATTTAAAGGAAATTTTATCTTGCCTTGTATACACCTTATTTATTGAAAGCAAAATTATTTTAAAATATTATTTTTTATAGTTATCTTTTATATTTTATACCAAAATAGATATTTATGGTATATACTACAATTGAAGCATAAAATGCGCTATTTATGATTTTTCTCTCTCTTTCTTTCAATTAACACACGATTCTCTTTCAGAATTTTTCTTCCTTCTCTCTCTCTTATGAGATAATATGTTGTGTTTAACTCTCTTCAAATCTCATGTTATCTAATGTGCAACTACATGAAAGACATTCTTATGGAAGTTACATATTGGAGTTTCTCCCTTTTCCTACCTTCTCTAGCTATCTTATGCCTCGAAACTTCCTTCGGATGAGATAATTTGAAACAGAGAGTTTTTTTGTTGTTTGATTATTGCAAATGGCCACTTACATATTTCTTTCTAATCAATGTGGTCTCTCTCTTCTCTCTTGTCGTTCTGAGGATAGGGCCACTCTGCGGGGAGCAAAAACGATGTCGGAATAATCCGAGTAAAGCATGGGTACGGTAACATGAATGACGGATACTGTAATATTTTCTATGCCAAAAAAGATTTGAGGCCCAGGATTTTTGTTCGTCTCCATTTTTAGTTTTAATATAATGTATACAGTATTTTGCTTGGCCGAAAAATGTCATCTCCGACGAACTTTCTTCTCTTCTTTGCGATTTAGCCACATACAATGATACAAATATATTGTATTCTTTACAAATTCACTCAAACACATTGTATTTTTATATAAATATATTTGTTTGCCTGTATTTATGTATTTTGAAGGTCTGTATTTTTTAATACATCTGAATACACATGTATTCATGCATACTGTACATACAGTATACATGAATACATGATATAAACTTTGAAATACAGTGAATACAAACATTAAAATAGAATAGAATATAAATAGTGAATATATTTAATTTTAAAATACAGTAAAATACAGTAAAATATACTAAATACAAATAAAAATACAGTGAATACAACCAATGAAATATACTGAATACAACAGTAATAACATGTATTAAGAATAACTAAAATACTGATAATACAAATACATTTGAATACACTTAATATAAAATAACGAATACAGTAAATACAAATATTGAATATAATGAATGCAACAATAAAAAAAATATTGAAACACACTAAATACAAAAGTTAAATACAACAGATATATACAACTGAAAAATTATTCTAATTAATTGGGTTGATAATGAGGCATGTTAGAATTAATTTTGTTAAGTTATATTAGGAGTGTATCACGCTAATTGATATTATTTCCGTTATTAGACAGCTGGACAGACCTATTTTTAAGGTAATTATCGTTACTGTATTCATGAATACATGACGCGAATACATGTGAATACATGCGCGTACAGCTGGATTGCCCTGATTTTTAGGCTTTTTTGCTATTGTATTCATGAATACAGCAGCGCGAATACAACGAATACACTATCGTAACAACTAAATAGTAGCTATAAGAAGTAATTATGTATATGATAGATATAGGAAGTTAATAGCCACTAAACAATAGTGGTTTCTGAAAATTCCTCAAATTTAAATGAGTTGTTTCATATCTTATTTGTCAGACTTTGACTCAATAGATTGAACTCAAAATAACTTATCAAATTATTGGGTAAAGCTAGTATAACCTAGTTGGTTAAAATGCAATCTATATCCAAACATACAAAATCAGATTTGAAGGTTGAGAATTATGTAAATTTAAAGTAATAATTTTAAAAATATACATTAGCTTTCATCTGTTTTCAAATAGCAAAATAAAAAATAAAAAATAAAAAATGAAAAGAGATTGAGTCATGTTAGACAAGGCTACTTATGACCCGATCCATCTTGACTCGAACAAATTTGGACGAGCTGAATCGTGTTTGTTTATTGCTCCCTCTAGTTCACAATAAGTGACTATTTTACATTTGGCACACCCATTAAGGAAATACGAACTCCCCGAGAAAAAGAAGAAGAATATGTATTCACTAAATTAACCTTAATTAATTGTTATCTTTACACATTGGAATATGTAAATAAGGATAAATTTTAGAAAAATAAAATTAATTTTTTTTTGATTATGTAAATTGACACTTATTTTAGACTAAAATAAAAATGTAAAATAATTACTTATTGTGAACGGGAGAAAATAATTAGATCCATCCAAATTTAGCCCAATTCCCCCATTTGCCACCTCAATATCACTCATCAATGTTTGCAGGGTACAAAAGTTTGCAAGACCAAGTAATTTGAGTTTTCCTATAAAAAAGAAAAATATATTTTCAGCCACTTGCTATTTGTATCTTAGTGTATATCATTCAAAGGCAAACGTGGGAACACAGCTACCTGGAATGAGGGGAATAAATCTCAGAAAATTGCAAATTTTATCTATTCTTTTTTAATGAAGTGATAGTCTAGAATAATTTGTTTGTGCATTTCAATTATTCTACCAGTACAAATATCGCTCATTAAAACTTAGGTAGATGAGTTCTGTCTATATTCTTATACACACATAAAACACTACTTAATGATAAAAATTGAAAATGAAAATGCGTTAGATCCAGAATCTATTGTCCATCAGCAGAAAAGAAAAAGAAAGGAAAAGACTTATCAAGCCTATGAATATGAGTTACCCAAAAATGGAATTAGGTCCAAGTTATATTCAGAGCTGACAACTCACCCAATATTAGCTTTCTTTTGTTTTTTTTCAAGGGACTATGCTATAGTTATAGGACTCTGATAATAAACAAGATTCCTTGTACCTGCACAAGAAACAAATATTAAAGCAGAAATAATGAATACACAGTTCCGAATCTTAGCACCACAAAAATGATCAAAGAACCCAACAACTATTATTTCATAGCTAGCTGTCATGCAAATGAAATATCATTTCACAAAAAAAAAAAAAAAAAAAAAAAAAAAAAAAAAAAAAAAAGGCATATAAAATAAAAATTATTATTAACAGCAATAAGAGTTTCTCTGACAATTTGAGTTTTTTTTTGTTAGCTTCCTTTTATTTTAAGCATGTTGTTTGTAAAATCAAATAAGATTTCTAGCTAGGATTTCTAAAGTGAGATCCTGAAAGAGAAGCTTATATATTGACGGTTTTAAAAAGTTTACCATCAAATCGATATTTGATAATATAAATTCTTTTACATTTTTAATCTAAATTTAAATTCTGACCGTAATAACATTTTAACCATAAAAATGGCTTGAAATTTGTTTTTTCTAAGAATAGGAGTCCCCTATGTGTTAGTTGAATTAATTGAATGCACAAACATCTGTTCCACACAAGGTTTTCACATATGCACACGCCCTGGATAAGTATCATATACAGTATACCATATACTCTATGAAGTTAAAACCAAAGACTTAACTCTTAAGTTATATATATTGTTGAATATGCAAATTTGACACTGTCAATGTAATTTGTAAGTTTTAGGCTATGTCTCAAAATTAAAAATTCTAATAACGGATTTCAAAAAATGCAAGAATGCCGCAAATTTGAGCTTACGACTTGAAACAATTTTTGAATCACATTTAATTTGCTAGTACACCAAAAACTTCCCTTATGTTAAGAAAATTCAACAATTTATATCTACCCATACAAATTTATTTTTATTCGATAAAAGGGCTTTAATTGAAACTCTTAACCTTCATAGCTTCGCCCCCGGTTATAACAAGTTATTATCTCAGTTTTTCAGGATACTATATGAGCTAATTATAAATAGTTACTTCCTCCGGTTCATTTTAATTAATTTTTTAATTGTTTTCGTACATATTAAAAAATCTACTCTTTAGCATTAATTAACAACCAAATTGACCATATTAACCTTAATTTGTTCACTAAAAATATAACAAATACTCATAGGCCTTATACTCCAAGGGCAACTTTGAAAAAAAGAAGTTAATTCTTTCTTGATATCTAAAAAAATTAAATATTATGGATCACAAAAAAAAACCAAAAAATTAATTAAAGTGGATATGAGGGAGTATATGTTAGGTGTAAGAAAAGAAGTATACCCGATCACTACCCTTAACTTAAACTCTAAAACAAAACGCCGGACATGAAAAAGTTAAGCATATCAAAGACAACCAGAATCACCATTTACTCTCAGAAGCTGAAAGTT